CCAGCAAGGCCAATGCCCAGTTGGTGGAGTTGCCGCCAGACGTCCAGTAGTACCTCTGGCGCCGCTGCGAGCAGCTTGGCGACGCCCTCCTCGACGTGGTCATCGCGCCCCGACCGCCTGGCTGGGCCGGGGCGACGTCTTCCTCGATGTCTTCGTGGGCACCGGGGGGGTCGGCCGGGCCATTGCGAGGCGTGGCGTCGCTCGAGGTCGAGCTCGACCTTGGCGCGGGCATTTTTTCCGCCAGGCGTGTTGCCCGCGCTAATGCGATTGATAAGTGCGGGCGTAGCACGAGGAATCAGCATGGCTACGCCGTGTCGCTCCTTGAGCATAGCTAGACGGGCTCCGCGGTCCTCGCTCTTTCCCAGTGCTGTCCGTTCCGCTGGGAGGATTTGGGGCTTCCTGGACTTATCCGAGAAGGGTCGAAAGATGTGTCATGAAGGCAACGGGCTCGCGAGGGTCACGTGCAAGCTAGTTAGGCAGGCGCTTCGATATAACATCCCGTTAATGATCGAAAACCCCGCCTTCTCAATGCCCCGGGACGTGCCGTTTCTGAGGGGCCTCGGCAATTCGAAGAATGCGAAAATCATCATCTTGACCGGTGCCAGTTCGGGACCGTCCTTCTGGAAGCGGACCTCCATCCTGATGTCCTCAGATCCTGACGGCGCGTTCTTAGTTCGCATGTGCATTGGCAAAGCAGGTATATTCTCGCGTTCGGGTAGGCCTCATGAACATTTCGGAGGAAGAGCCAGCCAGCTGGAAGACAGATCGAGCAATACACTACTTTCCACAGTTATGCTTTGCTGTGGCACGTGCTTTCAGATCGCCGTGGGCTCAATAGCTGGTGGCTGGTGTTTCGTCTTCAACTACCTCCAGGCCGAGGCCTACGGCTTCTCCCTCCGCAGCCCGCCCGAAGCCAACGCATTCTTGAAGATGGGACTCTTTCTTCTTGGTGGGATACTGGACGCTGTTTCAATCGATTTCAGTGGCGTCTGGTTGCAAGCTGCGCAATGCATCGCTCTGGGATGTCATTCTGTTGGCCGCGTTAAAGCATCATGAGAGTGCGTGCGCAGTAATGATGTCAGAAGGGACCGTTCAGAGAGACGAATATGGGGAAGGTAGCAGGAGCTTAGCGTGCCTCGCCCACTGCCTCGCTCGTAGGCTTTCGTTGTTCCCGACACAAGCCTCCCTGGGACACTGTTCAATCGATTTCAGTGGCGTCTGGTGGCAAACTACGCAATGCATCGCTCTGAGATGTCATTCTACTGGCCGCGTTAAAGCTACATGCTACTGATGATGATGATGATGATGATGATGATGCTGATGATGCCGATGTTGATCATGATCAGGATGATGCTGCTGATGCTGATGCTGCTGATGATGAGTATTATGCTGGTGACGATGATGGCGGGTCGGTGACGACAGTGGTGCTAGTGATTGTGATGGTGATGATTATGAGGATGCTGACGATGATGCTGTTGATGTTGGTGCTGTTGCTGGTATTGATGAGTTTGATGATGAAGATGGCGATGATGCCGATGTTGTTGACGATGGTGCCGCGATGATGATGTTGACGATTATGGCGAGGCGGTGACGACAATGGTGGTAGTGATGGTGCTGGTGATGATACAGTATGATTATGCTGACGATGATACTGTTGATGATAATGGTGGTGCCGATGATGTTGATGGTGATGGTGACGATGACGATACTCCTGGCGATGATCCCGACAACGATGCTGATGTTACTGATGCTGGGTATCATGATAATGCTGATGGTGGCGCCAATGTTGATGTTGATGCTGCTATTGCTGATGATGACGGTATTAATGAAGAGTTTGATGGTGACGACGATGCTGATGATGACGTTGTTGATGATGATGGTGATGGTGGTGCTGACGATGACGAGGATATTGTTATTAATGATGAGGGGGGTCCGACAGTCATCGATGATTCCGACTACGACGATTATGATTACGACGATGAGGTCGAGGATGAGGATCAGGGTGAGGATGAGGACGAAGACGAGGACGATGATGCTGTTGGTGGTGTTGGTGATGATTATTCGAAGGATTGTGTTGCTGATGCTGTTGGGGTGGTGATGACGATGACGACGACGATGAGGAGGAGAAGGAGGAGGAGGAGGCTGAGGAGGAGAAGGAGGAGGAAAGGGTTCAAAATATGCCGCCTTGAGAGTTGGTCCAGTCCGTTTTAATCGATACATCCTCGCAACTTTGCGCTCAGGGATGCCCTGACCTGTTAGTCTGGCCCGCTTCGCCGAGGACATCCTCGCAGTTCTGGGCTCAGATATGCCTTGACCTGAGGTGGGGCGCCCGTTTCGCCTGAGACATCTTGACAATTCTGGGCAATAATGTCGCGCGCGAGGTGGTCAGGCCCGTTTCGCATGAGACATCGTCGCAACTGGGTTCCGATCGGGAGTAGGGAGAAGGCAGACGAAGCCTGGCCAACACGACCTTTTGAATTACAACTCTGTTAACGAGTTGTGCTCCACCAGGGGCTCCAAGCGCCCCAGCCTGGCCCGAGGGAATACTTTGCCAGCGCCGAGGCGAGAGCAGGACTTCTGGGTCACGTGTAAAGAAGAGCGTGTTCTACCGCTGCTGGCGGAAAACCGGGGAGGGTCACTGGGGGCCAACCCGTCCCCCCCCCCTCTCGAAAACCGGGAGGGGGGGGGGGTCACTACCGGTTCGTACCCCCCCTCCCCCCTCCCCAGTCCATCATGGAAAGGGGGAGGGGTCCATGCCGGTTCGAACCACCCCACCTTCGCCGCGGGCAAACGATTCCCGCTCCTCGGGACAGTGGGACAGTGGTGGGGACACTGGGACGGGGACAGCAGGGACAGTGGGACAGTGGTGGGGACGGTGGTGGTGTGGACTGGTGAGGGGACAGTGGGACAGTGGTGGGGACAGTGGGGACAGTGGGACAGTGGTGGGTACGGTAGTGGTGGGGACAGTGGTGAGTGCGGTGGTGAGGACGGTGGTGGGACAATGGGACAGTGGTACAGTGGGGACAGTGGTACAGTGGGGACAGTGGTGGGGACAGTGGGGAGAGTGGGACAGTGGTGGGGACAGTGGGACAGCACAGTGGGACAGCGGTGGGGAAAGTGGGGACAGCGGGACAATGGTGGGGACAGCGGGGACAATGGGGAGAGTCGGACCGTGGTGGGGACAGTGGTGGGGATGGGGGGGACATTGAGACACTGGTAGGGGCACTGGTGGGACAGTGGGGACAGTGGTGGGAGCAGTGGCGATAGTGGGACAGTGGTGGGGACAGTGGGACAGTGGTGGGGACGGTGGTGGTGGGGACAGTGGTGTGGGGACAGTGAGACAGTGGTGGGGACAGTGGGGACAGTGGGACAGTGGTGGGTACGGTGGTGGTGGGGACAGAGGTCAGGGCGGTGGTGGGACAATGAGACAGTGGTACAGTGGGGACAGTGGTGGGGGCTGGGGACTGGTTGGAACAGTGGGACAGCTCAGTGGGACAGCGGCGGGGACAGTGGGGACAGTGGGACAGTGGTGGGGACAGCGGGGACAGTGGGACAGTGGTGGGGACAGTGTGGACAACGGGGAGAGTCGGACCGTGGTGGGGACAGTTGTGGGGATAGTGGGGACAGTGAAACACTGGTGGGGGCACTTGTGGGGACACTGGGGACAGTGGTGGGAGCAGTGGGGACAGTGGGACGGTGGTGGTGGGGACGGTGGTGCTGGGGACAGCGGTGAGGGCGGTGGTGAGGACGGTGGTGGGTACTCTGGAGTCGTTTGCCAGGGTTCACTACCGGTTCGAACCCCCCTTCGAGGGGGGTTTCGAACCAGTAGTGAACCCCTCCCGTTTTCTGGAGGGGGGGGAGGGGGGTTCGAACCGGTAGTGACCTCCCCTGGTTTTCCAGAGAAGGGAAGGGGAAGGGTTATGGGGGGACAGGGTTTTGGCCGGGGGAAGGAAGGGGGAGGGGGGGAGGAGGGTCCGAGCAGGTGGGGGGGGATTTTCGGAGGGGGGGGGGGTGGACCCCCGGGCTCCGGCGGACGAGGGGGGGAATTTTCCATAGTAAAGCGGCGGTGGATCACGCTCTCTCCGTGTAAAAGAAAGCCTCAGGCATTCGTAAGGAAGGCTCAGGCGGGTGCGCCGTGCCTCGGTAAACTGTGAGGAAGAGGCTCGGGAGGAGGGGGACGGGAAGAAGAAGGGATGATACGGAGGGAGGACACGGACAGAGGACAGGAAGAGAGAGGAGGGAGGAGGGAGGCGAGGACAGGCCCAAATGTCGAGTATGAGCACGCTTGTGGTATCGAAGCGTGCTCGGGGAGCGGCACGTGCCCCCTGGCAGGATGGTCGTGCTTGAGTAAATGGTGAGGCTATCTCCAGCGAGGAGGGTGAGGATGAGAGCCAGCAGGACGTTGAGGTGCAAATGGGACCAGGGGGAAGAACATGATCAGGAGGGTGAGGAGACAGTGGGCCGTCTTGGAGCCCTCTTGGGCCGTCTTGGAGCCCTCTTGGGCCGTCTTGTTTCGTCTTGGGGCGATATTGGGGGCCTCCTGGGTCGTCTTGGACGCTGTTAGGACCGAAGCAGCGAATATGCTAAAGATATGCGTTTCCCATTTTGAAGGCATCTCAGGGCCAGCTGGGGAGGCTCTTGGGCCAGAGCGGGGGGCGTGTTCGGCTGTCGGGGAGCTCTTCTGACAGGTGTCCTGGGGCTGGGAGGTACTGTCCCAAAGGTATGGGGGTGGGCATGCGGGGGGCTGTTTTCATGCGTGATGACTCATTCTAGAAATTTGTGTATGTATGTATGTATGTATATATATATATATATATATATATAGATAGAGGTCTACGTATGTGTTCTCTCGCCGTGCTGGTCCGTCTGTCCGTTCGTCCCCCTGTCCGTCCATCTGCCCGCCTGTCTGCCTGTCTGTCTTCCTGTCGGCCTATGATGCGCACATCGCCTCGCTCCTCCTCGGACGGGCAGCTCCCCCCCCCCCCTCGCTTCCGCGCCAGACGCTAGCGGCGTGCCAGAACCTCCTGAAGGACGAGGATTGGTTCTCCAGGACTGCCGCGCTGGCGTATGGTCCCCGGATGGCTTGCCTCCCCCGCTCCTCACGAGGGGGCCCCGTCCCCCTCCTCTTCCTTCCCTTCCCCTCCCTCCGTTCCTCCCTCCCTCCTCCCTCCCTCCCTCCCTCCAATCCTCCAATCCTCCATTGCTCCCTTCCTCCGTTCCTCCCTCGCTCCTCCCTTTTCCGTCCCTCCATTCCTCCCTCTCTCCCTCCTCCCGCCACTTGCCTTCCCGCCTTCCCACCCTCCCTCCTTCCATTCCCACACTCCCATCCAACTTCCTCCCTCCCCCAGCACAATCACATAGTATGAATGCTACTCTCCTCTCTCCCCTGATTCCGTCTGGAAGATAAGCTGGTGCTCTCCGATTATTGCTTGCACACCGGGTTTTTTTGTCTTTTGGCTTTTGATTGAACATTCTGATCTTGAGTATATATAATGGTGCCTCGCTGCAGCGTTGGCTTCATTTTTGGATCGGCGTTTCTGTTCCCGTGGTTCACAATGGCGCTCTCGCCCCAGCGCGTCACTTTTCTGGATCCGAGTCCGTCTTCATCTTTGTCGCCCACCTCATTCCCCCTCCTCCGCCTTCCCCTGGTCCTCCCGCTCCTCCCACCCCTCCCGCTCCTTCCACTCTAGTTTCTGCTGCTGCTTTTCGTCCTCGGCCTCCTCCTTCCTCACCCTCCTTTCCTCCTCCGTTTCTCCAGCTCAGCCTCCCGCTCACCCGCCACCTGCTCCAATGTATGCAGGTTTCCTTCTCCCATTGCGCATAACGCGATTGGGCCGTTTTTTTGAGTCCCAGGTCGGCTATGGCTTTCTGCGTCGCAGCGCGGCAGAGGCAACTCGCTCGCGCGTCCAGGCAGGAGGAAGGGGAGAGGCGAGGGAGGCGGCCGCGGGGGGGGGGAGCTGGGCGCGAGGGCACAGGTCGGCTATGAGACACGTGGGCGGATACTGAACATATCGGCGCAATGAGATAGGATGGACGGGAGGGATAGGATGTCAGATGTGGCTCCCTCCTTAACCGCCACCCTGCCCTTCAGGCGGCCAAGCGCCCCATCCGCCCCCGCGGCGCGCGCGGTCGAGCGAGCCGCCCCGAGCGCGCGGGCGCGGGCCGCCGCGCGCCGCCGCCGCGCCGCCGGGGCGGGCGCCGCGGCGGGGGAGAGCTGAGCAGGGATCGACCGTCCCTAACCGCCTCCCTGCCCTTGGTCCCTGCCCTTCCTCCCCCCCGCACCTGTTCCCTGCTCCCTTCCCCCCCTTCCCTCCTGCTCGATCTTGCCTCCTCCCTCTCTCAACTTCCTCCTCCTCCTCGTCCTCCTCCTCCTCCTCCTCCTCCTCCTCCTCCTCTCACTATGGAGGAATAGTGTAGGGAATGGGGAAGGTTGAACCAAGGACCCGGAACCAGGAACCGGGATGCGGTGACCGGGAACCGAGAAACGGGAACCAGGAACCGGGATGCGGGAACCAGGGGAATTGGGAACCCAGAAAAGGCAACTGGGAACGGGGAGCCGAGAGCCAGGAACTGGGAACCCAGAGCTGGGATTTGGGAGGCAGGGGGCCGGGAACCAGGAACCGGGAAGCAGGGAATCGGGAAGCAGGGAACAGGGAACCAGGAACAGGGACACGGGAATTGGAGAAACGGGAACCAGGGTACCGGGAACCGGGAACCAAGAACGGGGAACCAGGAGTTAGGGACCTTGGACCCAGGGTTCGGGACATGGAACCAGGAACCGGGAAAGTGGCATAGGGAGAAAAGGAGTGAGAGAGAGAGAGAGAGAGAAAAAAAAACGAGCTTGAGAGAGAGAGAGAGAGAGAGAGAGAGAAAGAGACAGCGACAGAGTGTTTGCATATTATAACGTACATTCCTATTCGTCTCATAATTCTTAGTATTATTCTTTGTATTAATTTTATTATCCTATACCGGAAATCTGGCCTGGGCGGCCCGGGTCGAAGACCACCATGCACGGGCCCTTCAAATACGCTAGGTCTCCCCACCCTGGGCCTCCCTGGAGCCTCCCCGGAGCTTCCCTGGCCCCCCAGAGCTTCTGGGGGTTAGGTTCCAATTCGTTCAAAGACGGGCCAAGATGGCTTCTGGATGGCCTTAGATGGCGTCAACATGGTTCAATAACCAGAGCATGGATGGATTCGGTTTGTGTTCGGGATGATGTTTTTTGTTATGTATGGGGCCAACGGGGCCAGGCGGACAGCGACGACGACGACGACGACGACGACGAGGGCGACGAGGGGGAGGAGGAAGAAGTCGACGACGAGGGGGTGGAGGGCCAGCACCCCCATCCGTCCTATCGGCCCAAGCCAAGAGCAAGGGGAGAAGGAAGAAACGCATTGGAGTCACATTGGAGCCACATTGACACAATCTTGGGGCCAATTAGGGTTCAAAAGGGTCATATTGGGGCATGGGGTCGTTCTAGGGCCACCTCGGAGTAAAGTCGGGGTCGCGCGGTAGCCTTATCTCAGGCGGAAGATTATGGGTTCGTCTCGGTGTTTTCTTGGGGCCGCAGGGTTGCTCTGGGGTCATATTGGGGCCATTGCTTAGCAGGGGTGGGCATCTTGGGGCGACGGGTAATTTCGTGATCCTTTCCAAAACCCTTGTTGGGTCCATCCTCGGATCATCTTTCCGTTGCTGCCTCTCTCCTTGTTGTTGCTACAGACGTTGCTGTTATTGCTGGCGTTGATGCTGCTAATGCTGCCTGGGCTGCCCGTGGTGCTGGTGCTGGTGCTGCGCTAAATTTCGGACCCCCTTGGAGCCTTGGAGCCTTCTTGGGGCCCTCTTGTGGCCCTCTTGGGCATATTGGGTCCCTGCGGGGGCCTTCTGAGGGCCCTTAAGGCGCTACCGAGGGGGCCAAGAATTCAACGCACACTTAACACAAACCGCCTCCTTATTTGAGAGTGTCGATTTAGCCCTCTTGGAGCGATCTTGCGGCCCTCTTGGGGCCCTCCTGGGCCCTCTTGTGCCCCTGCGGGAGCCCTCTGAGGGCCTTTAGTAGGCCTCCAGGAATGCCAACAACTCAACACACGTTTAAGAAAAGCCGCCTCCTTATTGGAGAGCGTCTTGTGTTAAATGTATACTACATTTCGTGCTCTCTCAGAAGAATCCCAAGAAGGCACAAGAGAGACCCAAGAAGGCCCTCAAAGAGATTGTTGTTTAGCTTCCACGCGGGGAGGTCACCATTTTTCCGCTGTTTGTGCAAATCCTTCCTCTTGCAGGGATCGGTTTTGAGGCTCGGAGGGCCTTCAGGAGGGTTTCAGCCTGAGGTATTCAAAGACTCCGCGTTAGCTTCGAGTGCGATGGCGCTGCTCCGAGACGTCTCCGAGACGATCCCAGAAAGCTCCAAGACGCTCACAATGGCTTCAAGACGGCCAAAGAGACCCTGCAGATGCCCCTGGGGGGCTCCAAGAGGACCCCCTCGGGGTCTGCACGAGGCCAGAGCCATAATTTCTCTTTTGGTTTTCTGGCGGATTTTAGCGTGCTCGCTTTTCCTGGGCTCCAATGCTCCACGACGGCCCAAGAGGCCGCCAGGATCGCCCCAAGACGGCTTCAGAGGCCACCGAAGAGGGCTTCAAGACGACCGAAGATGGCATCGAGACGACCCATGAGGCCCTTAATGCGGCCCAAATAGCCCCCAGGACGGCCCCAAGAGGGGACCCAGAGGGCCACCAGAATTCTTGTGAAACGGCGTGGGGGCATGCCTTCGCAAGTAGACGCGGCGCCAGGGTCACCATGTATCCGAACATTGTACGAATTCGTACATGTCTGAGACGATCGCCGAGCCTCTTGGGAGCCCTTTTGGTGGCCTCTTGGGGTCTGCTGGGGGTTTCTTGGAGCATGATGAGGGGCCTCTTGGGCGCCTCTTGAGGTCTGTTGAAATTCTTGGAGGCTTCTTGGGGGGCCCTTCGAGGGCCTTTTGGGGGCCTGCTGGGGCCCCAAGACGGCCGCGAGAAGATTCCAAGAGGGCCCCCAAAAGTGTCCGGGTCCGCTGGAGATGCTGCAACACCATGTCGGGGTGGCCCGGAGACCTTTCGAGGACTTCTTGGAGCTCTCTTGGAGGTCTCCAGGACGGTTTGGGAACACTCACAGATCCCAAGAGGGCCCCGAGAAAACTCCAAGAAGGTCCCGAAAAGTCTCCCTCCGTGCTACCCGGAGGTGCTGCAGCACCATCTCCGGGTGACCCAGAGACCTCTCGGGGCCCTGTTGGAGCTTTCTTGGGGGCTCCAAGACGGTGGCGGGGAGGGCGGGAGGGCGGGGGTTTTCTCCTGGAGATGCGGACGCGGAGGAGGGGGCGTCTTCTGGTGGCCTGACGGGGGCCTCTCGGGTGGCTTTTGAGGTCAGTTGGGGTTTCTTGGGGGCCTCTCAGAGCCTCCTGGGGGTCCTGTGGAAACCTTGAGGCGTCTTGGAAGCTTCTTGGGATTGTCTTGGTACCCTCTCGTGGGCCGAGAAGCGATGTTGTTTTTGCTACTGTTTTTCCCAACCAACCTGTGGTGTTGGGTCCTCGTTTTGAAGAGACGGTGCCCCGCGTTCCCGCCTCCTCCTTCCTCCTCTCCCCCCTCCTCCCCCCATCCCATCACCTATCCCATCACCATCATCACGCTGCCCTCCTCTCTCCTCCCATCATCGTCATCATCATCATCATCATCATCATCATCATCATCATCATCATCATCATCATCATCATCATCATCATCATCATCATCATCATCATCATCATCATCATCATCATCATCATCATCATCATCATCATCATCATCATCATCATCATCATCATCATCATCATCATCCTCATCCTCATCCTCATCCTCATCCTCATCCTCGTCCTCGTCATCATCACCACCAGCATCACCATCGTCATCATCTTCGCCATCGCCATTAGTTCCCAACCATCCTGTGGTGTTGGGTCCTCGTTTTGAAGAGACGGTGCCCCGCGTTCCTCCCGCTCCTCCTCCCCCTCATCCCTCCTCCTCCTCCCTCTCCCTCTCATCATCATCATCATCATCA